CAACGTCTATTACGAAAGGTCATACCGTACCGTACCGTACTGGTCCTATAATAAAAGCTCTATATATACTACCGGTATGGTACGGTACGATTCAAATTCGCGAAAAATACTGATCTGCATAATCGTACCGTACCGGTTTTCTATCTACCCGTAACCATTTCTGTGAAAAAAAAATTTTTGACATTCTCTTTCATTGGCAAATAGACGAATACTTAGAGAAATAATTATCAATTAGATTTAAGATTTAATCGCAAAAAAAAACTGATTTAAGAACAATCTAGAGAAATCACTAAATAATTTGGAAATTAGAATTAAGGAATTAGAGCCAAATAACGTAGAGTTACGCTCTATTTAGAAGAAAAGTTCAGAGTTCGAGGAGAAGAATCCAAAGACAAGCAAGCAATTATTAGTAATTTAGAAGAAAAGTTTAGAAAACAGTCCAGCTTTGCCTAACTCCTTAAAATTTTCAGTCGTTTAACTACTAAAATTACCAATTTACCAACTTTACTTAAATCCATAACCGCTCTCCAAAATGATCACACTCCAATAACCAGCTAACCAACTTTTCCTAACTCTCTCTCTTTCGATGTGATAATATTTCAATAACCAGCTTACCAACTTTACCTAATTCCTTAACGGAACCCTTATAGTTTTCAAACTCAAATAACTAGTTTACCAACTATGCCTAATTCCTTAAAAATAATATATTGCCATGAACACAAATTAATAGATTTCCAACTTTACCTAACTCTTTAGAAAGTTTCTCATGCTATAAACAATATTTGGTTTCTTTGGATCAAACAAAATACAGGTTAACCTAAAAATGGTGAAGTATTTAGAATTTATTAATTTATATTCACAAATTATAAATTATTTAACATTGATTCTTTATATTTTGAGATTTTATCAGTGATTTAAGAACGAATTTATAATAATAATTTTACTTGTAGTGTTATACCAAATTAAGTTCTTAACCTTGGTGTTATATTTATTTTCTTGAATTTTTCCTGTTTAAATTGCCTTTTGATAGTTCAACTGCAGAAGTGCAACTATTCCAAATAACTTGAGTCACAATTACATTGAGGTCTTAAATATTTGAAAAGTATATCATAAATCATACTTAACGATAGTCTACTCATGTTTAACTGCAGATGAACATATTCGGCCAGAAAATATTATTTCATTTTTTAATATAATACTATTTTTAAATCAAAATTTTATTAATCTTCTTTTTCTTTTTTTTCCCTTTTGTTATCTTTGTTACACGGATGACCAAAATGCATAACTAAATGACTCAATACAAATCTGGAATTGGTTTAAATGTAGTTGTCACAGCAAACCTCCAAAAATATATTCTAGGACGTCTTTTGCTTCTGTTGAATTGTTGTATTTTTACATATGAAATTCTCGGTTCGCAAATAATTTTAGGGTATTTGCATCACGCCTTTTTTATGAAACGTCTTTAATACAGGTTTGTAAAATAGTTAGTGTCACGTTGCATAATATTTATAAATTGATCTTACCCGAAATGAATTGGGCTAAATCAATAAAAATTTTTCTCACACTCCCTTTAATTTTTTACATTTGATTACTGTTAAACGTATCCAAATTTGAAAGTTCCTTTTGATAGCAAAGATGCCGCCGGCAATCGGAACGAGTTTTAAACCACATCAACCTTACACTCATCGTCTACGTAAAATTCTTGATGAATACCCTGATGGTTCACAGGTTCTTCGTGAAATTCTCCAGAATTCTGATGATGCAAAGAGTACCGAGCAAATTTTCATCTTGGACCATAATACTTATTCATCAAATAGTTTATTTAAACCGGATTTGAAAAAATATCAAGGTCCTGCATTATTAGCAAAAAATAATGAAATTTTTAAAGATAGAGATTTTGAGTCTTTGTTGAAATTGGCTGATAGCGAAAAAAGTAATCAATTTGATAAGATTGGAGGTAAATATCGCTTACTAATATCGTATTATAACACATTATAATGACTTTCTAACGTAATATACTGTATATGTACTGTAATTTAGTAATGGGTGTCGGATTCAATTCAATTTATCATATCACCGATACTCCTACTTTCATTACCGGTAATAATTACGTTATTCTTGATCCACATGAGTGGTATTAAGATGGTGGTGAAAAATTCAATTTTGTCGAGAATAATTTGGTTCAAGAATATCCTGATCAATTTGCTCCTTTTAGAATCCAGTGTAATGAACCATTTAATGGAACACCATTTAATGGCACCCTATTTCGTTATCCCTTTCGTACCAATAACGATTCGAAAATTTCTGACGAAATTTATGAACCCAGCAAAATCTTAAAAATGTTTTATAGATTTTACGAAAATAATAGCATTAATAGCTTACTGTTTCTAAAATTTATTGAGAGTATTACTTTTTACGAATTAAAAAAAGGTGTTACTGAACCCGAATTACTATATGCGATTCAATTGGAAAATGCCGATGAAATTCGAGAACAACGTTGTTTGATAACAAAAGAAATTGTACCAAAGATGAATTCATTACAATTGGGTGAACTTGGAGTTAATAATCAATTACATACATCCTACATCGCATCATTCTGTCGTAAAAAAGGAGATTTCAAAGAGAATAACGCATGGTTAATTTTTAATTATCTTGATGACTTACTTGAAGCCGAAGCACATTTTCAAGAGAATTTTAAAAGAAATATAGGAGACTACAAGTTCATCCCTAACGTTGGTTTAGCCGTTCCCTTGAATAATTTACCAGCTACAGGAACGTTATTTTGCTTTTACCACTTCCCATTTGTATGCCCTTTCCTGTTTCTGTTCATGGATATTTCGCGGTAAAATTAAATGAATTAATGAATTTGATATTTTTTATGATTTTTTTTAGGACAAAATAAAGAATTAACCAAAGAATAACGCACAACTTCTTTCCTGATAATTTGCTGATATTCTGGGAGTAATTTTAATTGGTTTAGTGCTTATATTGGTAAGAAGAAATAAAAACAAAGGTAAATTTTTTTTTTTTTTTTTTTTTTTAAGGGAAAGAAAGAAGAAGAAAGAAAAACAAGGTCAGAAATAGAAAATTTTGAAGACTATGAATATTTGTTTTAAATTTTCTGTCAGGTTAGCACAAATCGACGTTCTTTATGGTCGGCTGCCGACGACGGTGATCTGGTAATTAATCTACTTTCATGATTTTTTTTTTTTTTTAGATTGTAAACCAATAAAAAATATAATACAATTGAATATTACAGGCGACTAATGCATTAGCACTCCTGAAGGTTTCATGGAATCAATATTTATTTGAAAAAGTCTTACCCAAAGCCTGGGTAATATTTCTTCGTGAACTCCCGCTTAAAGTTTCCGATATTAGGTCCGATAATCTTTATAAATTCTGGCCAATAGTTAAAGGAGGTACATCAGGCGACATAAGTATTTTTTGCAAGGATCTGTTGCAGAATGTTGTAGAAAATCTTAATGTTAAGGATCGTGTATTCAAAGGACCTCCTTCTTCATATGATATTGGAACGGTATCTGAAGTTCCAGCAAATTTATATGATACATATTTACTCAAAGTATCCGAATTTCATTGGTTATCAATTTCTAATGGATATCTGGAAGATGAGAAAGTGTATAGCGATTTACCTAAAATAATTGGATTTCCAGTAATATCAACATTTCTTGACATAATTAAAGCTTTGAAAGATTCTAGACAAAGATTTTCTTAAAAATTTTTCTCCGGCCATTATTCGTACTTATTTGAATGATAATTGTGATATATGGCAAGATATACCAAAAAAAAAAGTTTTATTATTACTTGAGTATATATTGAAGGACAAAAAATTTGATGAATTGGAAGGTTTTAAGATTATTCCGCTTGCGGACGGTACTTTTGGTACTTTAACAAAACATAGCAATTCTTATGTATATATTGGTCCAAAAGATATTGAAATACACAGGAATAACGAATTCAACATCTTCGAAAATCAGAAATACCAATTTATCGACAAAACGATTGATATCAGATTGTATGAAAGTTTGTACGATTATGTGTGTCAACTACTGAATGGAATCTAAACATTAAAATCCTGAACGAATCCGTTATGTCGATATGATTAAATCTGAAGATGCGGATTCTGAAGAGATACAAATTTTAAATCATCGTGAATGGATTTATAAATTATGGGATAACCTGAAATACAGAAATGGGATTTGACAAAGTTTAAAGATGTTCATTTACTCCCAATAAATCGTTCTACTCTTAGAAAGTTTACCCCTAAAAAAATTTTTTCAAGCGAGAATATTTCAACCAATTTAAGACATATTTTTGAATAATTTGGTGGTGTTTTTGTGGAACATGAATTTGACGTTGGCAGAATTTCTAGATGGAACAAGTAAGTATAATTTGTTACCATTTTTGTATGATGTTTTAAATACGCTAAACTAGTTTTCTACTAGAATAACTTCATACATTACCAAGCCTGATGATATTATATCAGTTTTGGGTTCTTTCCGAGCCGATACTTCATATCCAAGAAATTTAAGTCAAACGACATTACATACTCATGAAGCATCAACGCTCGCTATACATTTATCTAATCACTTACGACTTGTTCAAATAACGAATTATATTGAAGTTATTAAGTATCTTTCAATCTTTTTCGAAGTTGATCATGATTCACCAGTTTCATTGTTACCTGAAATACAAATTGGTATCTTCTTCCTCGGAATGAAGAAAATACGTGTGGTAAAATTATCTATCCAAGGAACATGGGAAAAATTTCTTAATACAAGTTCACAGAATTTATCTTATATATTGGAAGATATTATTAAGATAACGCGATTAGATCCATATGTTTATTGGCAGAAATATGTAATACCATATCTCGGGTCACAACAGCAAGCAGTCATAGATAAAGTAGTCGATAGTCTTTTTGATAGATTACCATTCTTACTTGATCATGATCATGATGTAAACTTAAAAGATGTTCTGGGAAGAACTTCTTTTGTACCTGTTGGCACATATAAAATGTCTCAGCAGCAACAAATGCCCGCTGGAGTAAAATTGGTTAAACCAACAGAATTATTTGATCCGGAAAACAGGATAGTAGTTGGTCTATTTTTTGAAGAAGAGCAAGTCTTTCCAGCTGGAATATATGGCATTCCTAGAAACATGTTTTCTAATAAGTTTTTTTCGAATTTAAAATTATTAGAATGAAATCAGATCTTTCTTCAAATGATGTGATTTCTCGAATTAATGCTATAATAGAACGAAATCAGATTTTTAGCGTTCATGAAGATTTAATTCATGAAAAAGCACTTAACCTATTTAAATATATTGATAACAATTGGGACGAGTTAACCAATAATAATGATCGTGGATTTTTGAATGTCGTTTTAAGGAAGGAATGGATCCCTACATTTGACATATTTGGGAAAAAGGTTTTATCGAAACCTCAAAACTGTTACTGTCAAAAGGATAAAGATTTAGTTTGTCTTGTTTTTCCAACGCTTGAATATAACGTTAAGAATATAAGAAGCTTTTGCAACATTGAAGTGGGATGGATATCCAGAAGTTCAAAAAGTTCTAAAACAGTTGAAAATATGTTATGTAACTACTAACATGCCATTACATGAGAATTTGGAGAAGATATGTAGCGCGATTTACTATATGAATGAAGTCTTTCAAGCAAATGATTCAACTGCTGAGCAGGATTTCGAAATTATAAAGAAAAAAAACCGTGGATATTATGTGGTGATACATTCCGTCCGGCTAATGAAGTTGTCTTTCGTCTTCAATTTGAATTTCAGAGTGATATTGTTGAACTTCCCGTGGAATGTACGCCTTTATTTAAAGCCATGGGAGTTCGAAATGAAATTGGAAACATGGATTTGATATTGATTATTAAGAATATGGTGAAGGACAATAGAGACAGAGTATTCTCAGAAGACGAAATAGAAAGGATTATTCAAATTCTTAAAGAGATATTAAAGAAGTTCCAAATCCGGAAAATTTGAAAGAAATATTAGTTCCAAATACTGAAAATAGGCTTGTGAAATTGGATCAAATTCGATTTAATGATTTAAAAGATAGAGTTGACGAAAATGAAAAATGTAAAATAATTGCTCATGATCATTTAACGGAGGAAATTGCTATAGGATTAGAAATCGAAACCTTAATAGGAGAAATATTTGGTAATCATATCTATTAATTATTCTAAAATTATAAATTTTATTATTTTGCTTTATCTGAACTCGCACATTTATTTATATTACTAGGAAATAATTCTGGAGACATTATAAAAGATGAGTTATCGGCTACCAGAATAAAAAGGTAACTAAATTTTATATGCTTTTTAATTAATCATATTGTATTAATTTTATTAAACTGCTTTGATATAACTTTAGGACTACTCGCTAGAAAAATTGTTTAAAATATTTCTTCAGGTAAGTAATGAAACTTATCATATATTTTGAAATAAGTATTGTATATATCTAAATTTAAGCATGTTTTCTTCCGAATTTAGAATGCAGATGAAACCAAAGCTACACGGTTTTCAATAATAGTAGATGAAAGAGAGCATAATTCTTATAAAAAATCTTTACTATCAAAAGAAATAAAAGGTTGGCAAGGCCCTGCCATATGGATATATAATGACAAAAACACAGACATTCTTTCCTTGAGCGAACTTGGATGTTTTAATTGTGCTTTTAATTTTACAGATTTACCAAGCATTGTAAGTGGAAAGTATATTGCATTTTTTGATCCAAATGCCAAATTTCTTCCATCACCTAAAAGGAGTAGGGTTCTAATCTTTGATTTCATTGAAACGGGATTTAAGAAGAAACTTGCAGATCAATGCTATCCTTATGAAGCTATTGAAGGGTGCGATTTTGCAAATGAATTTAAGGGAACGTTATTAATACTTCCTCTTAGAACGCTTAGGCTGGCTGGTCAAAGTGAAATTACGGATGAAAGTTTCAAAATTGGAGACATTTTGCGACAATTTTTAAATGTTCAGGGTAATAAGGAGATGCTCTTTTTGAGATATATAGAATCATGTAGTCTGTATAATATAAAAGAACAACAAGAAGCTCCTCAAATGCTACGGCAAGCGTAAATTAATCATATGCTGGATAATGTTAATACCAAACATAATCGCAACATTCGTAAAAATGTAACGGATAATGCGCATTGAAATTAATAAAATCCATAACGAGAGAGTTTCCGAAATATGGCTATTGTGCGCAGGAGGACATAGAAATATCAACTCGGAAGAACTTAGAACATTTTCAAGAGACAAACGGCTCAAGGTAAATAAATAACTAGTTTATTAATTTATCGGAAAAAAATTAGTAACCATTCTTTTGTTAATAAAGCCAATAGGAGTTGCTTCATTGCTTGCTCGATCTAGCGAACATTCTTTGGATGAACTAAAAGATGAATCAGTAATTTATAATTTTATTATATATCTATTTTGCAATTATCATTTTAAATGATATTATAAATATGAATAATTTTTGTGATAGTTTCCAAATCCTCCTGAAATTCAAGGCGAAATGTTTTCATGTTATTCTCTATCAATAAGTACCAATTTAGGAGTCCACTTAAATGGAAACTTTTATTTATTTAGTGAAGAAAGCAATATCCTAATTCTGAAAGTATTTTCCCGCGAGTCGATGCAAAATGGAATCGATATATCCTATATGATGTTTTGCCTGATTTGCATGTTAAACTGCTTGATAATATCGTGGATTAACTGAATTAAGAGCAGCCCTTGGATTGTTCTCATATTATCGTAAATTTGTTAAGGGATTTTCTCAAATCGCTAAACCTATAACTATGCTACTAAAGAAGGATGCTCCATATGATTGGACTGAAAACCAACAGAAATTTTTTGATAAAAGAAAAGTTGATTACATCTCCCATCCTTCAATACCCAGACTTCACCAAGGAATTTATACTTTATACTGATGCCTCAGGAGTAGGACTAGGAGCAGTATTATCCCAATTGGATGATGATAAAAATGAACATGTCATTGCTTATGCAAGTAAAAGCATGAATTAAGCTGAACAGAATTATCCGATCACAGACCAAGAATGCTTAGCAGTAGTTTAGGCTATTAGAAATTTCCATTATTATCTTAGCTCTTAACCATTCACTGTTGTAACTGATCACTCTGCTCTCAAATGGTTAAGAACCTCTAAAATTCCTAAAGGACGTCGTGCAAGATGGATTATGGAGTTACAGCAATATGATTTTAATATTCAACATAGACCTGGAAAAAATAATGCTAATGCTGATGCATTATCTCGATTAATTCCTGACCATGAACAAGATAATTATTCTAAGGAAGTTTTCATATTCTCAATCATTGAAGACATAGATGAAGAAATAGAATGGTATATTTCTCTCTCTAAAAGTAATGAAACTCCATCTGAAAAGTCGCTTAAGGAAATGGAATTAGAGGAAGAATTGGTTTTATCATACTCTCATACACCTTTAATTATTAAAGGATACCAATGCCTTAAAAATGAGTTGGAAGATATTTTCAAAGAAAATATAAAAATTAAGCAAGTTATAGCTAACCAACCAATTACTAAAGGAGGATCACAATGTAATTATAATTGTGATATTGAAAATCATCATATCCATACATATTGCAAGGCTTGTAAAAGAAATTTACTATATGGAATGATCAAACATCATTGTATTATTGGATTCAGTCCAGGACAGATTCAACCAGATATGAACTCTAATTATTTAATTAATGACTATTGGTAGGATGAACCAATTTTAGTTCAACAAGAAAACCTTTATTCTCAACTTTATTATATGCTTGAAAACCCTAAACGTCTTCTTATTTCTCACATTTAAATATTTTGATTCATGCTTATATTTATTCAAGTAATATTAGTAATAATTATTTAGAATGAAAGCGAAAGTGTCTACATTGTGATAGGCAGCTCAAACATCATGGAACTCAATCAATATAATAATTTATTTGTTTATATAACCTTAAACCAATTACCCATATCTTTTAACTCAAAAGAAATTGCAAAATTAAAAAGACAAAATTTTATATAGTTTGACTTGATTTCTTATAAAAAGCAAAAACAAAGAAATACTTCCGAACAGTTTCTAAGGGTTATCAAAGAAACTGAACTAGATGCAATCCTTTACATGATGCATAATTATCTAACAGTTAGACACTTTCTACTGATATCATGTTTAACAAAGTTTGTATTAGATATTATTAGCCTCAAATGTATGAAAGCATCAGAAAATATATTCAATCATGTGATGCTTGCTAATGATGAGGAAGACCTAAAACAAAGAATGAATTACATCCTATTCCAGTTGATTCACCATTTTATAGAATTGGAATAGACTTCGTTGGACCTTTACTATGAACTAGTAAAGGAAATAAATACATTATTGTTGCTATGGATTATTTAACAAAATGGTCAGAAGCTAAAGCAGTTAAGGATGCTACTGCTAAAAATGTTGTTAAATTCTTATACAAGGATATTATTTGTCAATATGGATGTCTAACTAAGAACTTATCAGATAGGGAATCTCATTTTAATAATCAATTAGTTACAGAATTGATTATCTGATTAACAAATTGCCCTGATGCGACTAGATACAAAGGTACAAATACAATTTGCACAAAATAACAAAAGAAGTATCATAACAAAAATACAAGGATCTCTGTTTCACATGAAATTGGAGATAAGGTTTTATACTTCAAAGCTGCAAATGATAAAACCCATTCTGGAAAATTGGATCAAAAATAGAAGAGGTCTTATTATATCCATCAAATCTTATTAAATAGCTCTTACAAAATAAGAGTATTAGATAGTCGTATACTTCGTAATCCAGTAAATGAAGATCTTTTGAAAATATATAAAGACCTCCTTTTTAGAATTAGATTTTCTTTTTATTATTATTATTTCTTGATATAGAACAACTTTATATCAAAGATTTGAATGAAACTTTGCCTGAAGAAATAACTTCTGCTATTCCTCCATATTCAAATGGAACAGACCTACAAAAGAAATTTCAAATGACATATCAAATGTTATTAAGAGCTTTACGAATAAAAGACCAGACTCTTACTTTGATAAATGCTTATTATTTGGGAAAACTTTTAGAAACAGAAACTTCTTCACCAGCACAATGAAGTCAATTAAGAAGACTTATTACCAAATACTATAGTTCTATCTCAATACAAGTCTATTACCTTTATGAAATGCTAGGTGTAGATCAAATTCAATGAGCAAAACATATATTGTTGAAGAATCTTTATTAACTTCCTAGTTATGTATATTGGTCTCTAGTAAACGAAGCTATGGATATTTGGGCAGGAGCTCAAAATTTAGAAGGGGAGGATTGAAGCTGTGATTCGTGACTGCGCCAAAAATAAGTCATGTGATCTAAATGATTGACATAGTCGATGAAGTTGACAAAGTTGCTAAAGTTGTCAATGTTGATCAAGTGCACAAATTAGATAAATAAATTATAGTTATTATCTTTATTAATTATATCTTTTTTATTATATATATTATATTTATCCTAGTTATATTATTTATTCTTTTTATTATATTTGTTATAGTTGATTTTATATTGTTTTATTTTATATAAATATCTGTATTTTCTCTTGAGTTGAAAAATAATTCAAGTTGAGGTTTTAGGATAAATCAAGAGTTCAATAAAGAATCATTAAATTAATTTACTATTGCCTTTTGTCGTGTCTTCATATAGGCGTGATTGTGATATTATCTTGTATTTAATTCGACGGATTGAATTAAAAGTTTATCGTTTAAGTTTACAGATACCAAGCCAAAAACGTTATTGATCCAGAAGATCCAACAATAAATGATTACTTGGACATGTCAGATGAACAAAATGATCAAAAAGACAAATTATTAAGGGGTTTACTAGTTAAACTTATAAGCGACGAGGATCATGATGTCACTTTTATCGT